AAAAAAAAAAAAAAAAAAATGGGGAAACCACCTAACAGACACCTCACTAACTTACAGATGACAAATGAAAAAATGCCCCACATCACGCAACATTAGGGAAGGCAAATTAAAATGACAATAAGATACCACCACACATCAATCATAACAGCCGAAATCCTGAACAGCAAGAACACCCAGTACTGAAGGTGGAGCCCCACTCACTGCGGATGGGAGTGCAAAATGCAGAGACTGCCCTGGAGCACAACTGATCCCATTCTTACCGAACAATCCAGCAATTAAACTCATAAGGAGTTACCCACAGGAGATGAAAACTGTGTCTGCCCAAAACTAGCACACAAATGTTCATAATCACTCAAACTTGAAGACATCAGAGGTCCCTTGGTAGGTGGAGGGTAACTAAGCCGCGGAGCACCTGGCAGTGAAGTGTGAGGACACCAGGAAGGAAGGAGCCACCAAGGGTGGCACGGTCCTCACACCTATGATCCCAGCACCCTGGGAGGCTGAGGCAGGTGGGTTGACTTAGCCAGAGTGAGCCCTTGTCCCTGAAAACAGCCAGGAGTTGTAGTGGGCGCCTGTAGTCCCAGCTACTTGGGAAGCTGAGGTGAGCTGTGACACTATGGCACTCTACTGAGGGTGACATAGTGAGACTCTGTCTCAAAAAAAAAAAAAAAAAAAAAAGAGCCATCAATTCAGGAAGATACTCAAGGACCCTTGGAAGCATATAAAGAAGATAACTTGCAAATGCCACATATCGTGACCCCCAGCTCTGTGATGCTCTGGAAGAGGCCACTCTGCAGGTTAGTGAAGAGTGGTGGTGGGGGCTCTGCTGGGCAGAGCAGGGGAGGGGTTATGGAGGGCCGAGGGGGAAGTAGGGGGCAGCAGAGCACATTGGGTCGCAGGCCAGTGAGACTGCTCGGCCGATACTGTGCTGATGGGTACAGGTCTCGGCACACCCATCCAAACACACAGCATGCAGCACCAGGAGCGCCCCCATACAAACCACGGCACTGAGAGGTCATGACCCGCCTATAATCTCAACAAGTGTCCAAGTGGACCACTGTGCAGGGGGCTGAGGGTGGGGCAGGGGTTGTGCATGTAGGTGGAGCATACAGACAAATTTGCTGTACTTACCACTCAATCTTGCTGTGAGCCTAAAACTGTTCTAAAAAATAAAATGTATTTTACACACACAAAAACAATTGTAAAGAATTATAAAGAGAATTTAAAATTGTGGAGGGAGATCTGAACAGATGCTTCAGCAAAGAGTAAGGTGGTCAAAATCAGCCTATGAGAGATGCTCAGGCTTATTTATCACTAGAGAAGTAGAAATTAAAACTACAGGGAGTCACCACTGCGTATCTACTAGAAAACCCAAAACTGAAGCCGGCACAGCAACTGGCAAAGATGTGCAGTGCCTGCCCTTAAAGTCCAAGTAACAAGGAAGACAGTGGGCAGTGCCGCCAACTTAATGACATGCCTAATCTAGGGGCACCACTCCCAGCCAGTCAGCCCAGAGATGTGCACAGCAGCTTCATCTGCAGCACAATCTAAATGTCTGTCACCTGCTGGCTGAATACACTAACTGTGGTATATCTACTCAACAGAACACACCTCAGCACTGAAAAGCAAACCAGGCACTGATACACTCAACAACACAACAGCTACACAGGCCAAAACAAACAAAGGGCCATCACACAATTGATCGCACCTGTATGAAACTTCTAGCAGACGCAGACTAGGCCGCAGTGACAGAGCAGGTCCATGGCCCCTGGAGGGCAGAGCAGACTTCTGGGGAGTGACAGACACACTTGTTATCTTGACTGGCAGTTTCGTGGGAGTATAGATATGTATGTTCTGCTTCCTTATGCGTAAATATGCCTACTGCATTTTTACTGACGCTATTTCTTTTTCATCTCTTTATTTTTCTTTATAGCCTCCCTTTTATGTAGCCACTTGCAGTATAATGGAAGTAGTATTTTTTCTTTTATTGACTGATGATATTCCTTATACGTGTTCCTGTACTCATAGCATTTTCTGGGTTTCTTTATCTGTTTTTTAAATTTTACCTCTAACCTCCATGTCAAATGCCTTGTGATCCTCAGTTCCTAGAAACATATATAATACTTGGCCAAAAAAAAGAAAGAAAGGAAAAAGGGAAAAAAGAAAGTCAAACCTTACAGAATGACATCTATAGCAGGTGTATCAATTCCACACCCTCTGGTGCCTCCCCCTTGGTTCACCTACCCAGTAACATCTACACGAGCCTCAAAGAGTTTCCTTCACAGTCACATTTGTATACTCTCACCATTTACCTCTGAATCCATAAAACCATGTCCTTCAGTTCATACATACTCAACTCTATATAGACGATATCCTCTCACATATATTTGGGAATGTCTTTATCAATGTTATTTTAAGAGTTATTCTACTGACATTAATTTCAATGATTTTAAGAGTAAAAACAAAGCATTTGATTCTGATACACTGTGACATATATGTATATTAAGATATAAAACATTCTAGAAATATACAACTTAACACTAGAGTTCAGTACTCAAATTAAAATATTAAAGTGTGTACTGTGTGTCTGATTCTCTGTTAGAGTAAGAGTTAAATGTAAGATGAGAACTTTGCTCCCAGGATCTTACTCATGGTATCCTCTTCAGAATTGTAACTAACATGCTAAGATATATTCTGAACACACAGGTACTGCAGAAGCACATGTTATTTCTGTCCAATACCTGAATGTAAAAAGAAGAAACTAAAGAGCAGATACAAATGGATACAAAGTAATAATTTAAGACTCATCCAGAAGTATACTTCAGGAGAAGGCCAGGGGAGCCGGGGTAGGCATTGGGAGGGGCAAGGAGGCCCTGCGGGACCATCCACAACAGGCAGGCCCCCACCGACAGGTGGCTATCAGAGACATGAGGAGCAGACTCTGTGCTAAATGGCAGCAGGGAAGTGTAGCACCCACTGTGCAGCTTTCAGAAGTCTGCCAGCTTCCTTGCTATTTCCTTCAATAATTCAAAAACCTATGCCATTTGTCTAAAACCAGAAAAACAGAAGACAATTTTCATTTATGAAGAGAAAATCCAACCAAGTACTAAGGTTAAGATGTTTCACACTGCTATTAAGTCAGATCTACACAAGGAGAAAAACACCCCACACCGACTATTGCCAGAGCAACTAAACCCAGGTCTCCGTACAGCAAACACCCCACTGGGTGCACAAGGGGGAAAGTTGTGGCAGGGACGGTAAGGTGGCTTTACACAGACATGACAGTGTCTTCCTCATCCAAACCATGCAGCACGACACAGGAGACTGACTGTGTTCCACCCATGGTTCTCAGCACAGCCTTCCTGAGGAAGGCCCCTACAGCAATAACTCACTGGTACCTGTGGCCTTTGCATAAAAAGTGAATTTTTGTAATTAAAAACAACAAATTCCACATTTAATAGAGAAGGAATCCATAGTGAAGTATTTCAGGTAAGAGCCCCATGGAGCCTATGGAAGCCCTGACTGAAGCGAGACCACACACCAAAGCTCCCACTGTGTACTCCAAATACACATACCTGGTGTCCGTCACCCCTCAGTAATGTGAGTTTCCTTTGTTAAAAAAGACAGACAGACCACAGAGAGGTTGTAAATAGAGAGTCTGTAGAGGCCTAAACCTGCCAGGCAGAGAGGCAGAGAGCCACATCCCATGAAGCCCTATAGGCAATGTTTAGATATCAGCTGATACTGCCCAATTTCAAAGAAACAACTTGATTCACAATAACCTTTTAAAGAAAAATGGGATGATACTTTACCAAAACTAAAGCAAGAAGTTGAAATTTGAAAGAAATTTTCTTTTCTTTTTTTTTCTGAGGCAGAGTCTCACTTTGTCACCCCAGTAGAGTGTCATAGTGTCACAGGTCGCAGCAACCTCTAACTCTTGGGCTCAAGTGATTCTCTTGCCTCAGCCTCCCGAGCAGCTGGGACTACAGGCACCCGCCACAATACCCAGCTATTTATAGAGATGGGATCTTGCTCTTGCTCAGGCTGGTCTCAAACTCATGAACTCAGGTGATCCGCCCACCTCGGCTTCCCAAAGTGCTAGAATTACAGGTGTGAGTCACCACGCCTGGCCTTTCAAAAAATTCTTTTAGTGGCAAAAGACGGAATCAAAATGTACTTACCCATAAATACTGTTACTCCTGTTTTGTTTCCCATGAATATAACAACTGCCTTTAAAATCTCCACTACCAAGATTCTTTTCCACTTCATAGCTCCACAGCCTGTCTGAGGTTTCCAGACAGGTCCAGTCAGCACTCCCAGGCCTACTGGGCACTATTCCTAAAGTACTAGGTGTGGTCTGGGAGGAGTGGAGACCAGGGAAGAATTCCGTTTACCCCCATGTTCTCTAGCTGAGATGTCTGATGCTGTGCAGGACAGCATGGTCCTCTCTAAATGGGCATTACTTACACCGCAACACATCCACGATCAGACCCACATCGGTGCTGAGCTTCTTGACGTGGTCAAGGTTAGCCACCGTTGTAATTGGCACATACTGGTCACTGTCCATTTGTGATATCAGGTACATGTCACTAGCAAGGTTCTCTCTGTGGGAAGAAAGGCAGTTTCACCTGAAGCAGCCCCAGACCCGCAGGGTGGGTGTGGGGCAGCACTGACTATTCTGCTGTCAGAGCCCAAACTATACCTGTGACTCACCATCTCAAAGTGTCTCTTGTGGAAAAGAAGAGAGACCAAAAGTATAAAGCACACTTCCCTTTATACAATTGAAATTAATAAGCTGACAATTCTAGGATTAGTCATTTACAGTTCATTTTTGTTCTGAAAGTGCATGAGAAGCTTACTGAAAATATACACAATTTTTATAAGTAAGGAAACTCAGATGAATACACAAGAAAGGTAAGAAAAACACAAATAGGCGGTTTCCCAAACACATGCTGTAGATTCTAAAGCAGCTGCCAGAGAAGCTGCAGCTCAGCTCTAGCTTCCTGGCAGCCACAATGGAGAAGGAGAAAAAGAATCAGCAACTTGACTGGCAGGGTCAAAAGGTGAGCCACAGGTAACCAGCAGCTCAGGCCAGCATGCGCTTCATCCTGGTGTTTGGCCAATGTTCTTTGTGAATTCTCAGGAAAAAGACAACATGTAATGCACTGGAAAAGGCCCCCAGACTAACAGAGCAGTAGGGCCCACAGGATCTTTTCTCACATGGGGGCCAACAGTGGGGTGGGGGCCCCTGCCCTGTCCTCACTGCAGCCAGCTACCTGCTGGATGACGTGGGTGACTCCGGCCTCACAGGGGCCCCAGGTGAGTGTGTGAGTGGCAAGGAACTGGGTTTCAAAATTTGCCACAACACCTATGTGTCTGCCACACTGGGATGCAGCACACCAGGCCCACTGCAATGCCATGGACATGCCAGACCAGCTGAGACCTCACCCTGCCCTACAACCTCCAAGAGGCCCTCACCAGGTAACTCTGAGGGATCTGCAGGGGTTCCAGAAAAAACATGTGAAAAACCATCATCAACAGAAAATCCTATACACAGTCTATGAATTGTCACTCACTCTCAGAGAAAATTACATTTAGCCCAATCCCATCTTCCCGTATGTCCAGTTTCTGCCATTTGAATTTTTAAAACTCTAATAAAAAAAGTATTACTCAAAAAAAAAAAAATCCCCAAAATATGAGCACAATGTAAAGGAAACAATTTGTTACTGCAGTATTTGGCGCATCTGCATAAACAGACTTTAGGGCGGTTAAAGACTCCAAGGCCCCACCCTTGGAGGGGTGGACCTCGTCTCTCAAACCACAGTGGTGAGGGGTCATCAGGTGACAGGTGTGGGCCCAACACTGGGTGCCAGCGACATAAGGATCATGTTCAGACTGACAAAATATCAAAAAGTTGTTATTGCTCAATATTCTAATTTCTTATTAAAATCTATACACACAGGTAACACATGTGCTTTTTTTATATATAATAACCAACGCATAATAGAGATGTCAAGTCCTAAAAGGTCACTACTAGGCTTACCGAGATAAGCAGAATTCCAACGTTTTCTTAAGTACTTCTCGGGGGTCTTCCTGGCTTTCTGGTTGAGATTCATTTCCTCCTACAGAGCAGTAATAATCAACTCAGGAAAATGGCTTCAGATTTACCAAGCCGAGAATTCAGCACAATTCTGGGTGTTTTTACTATATAAATACAGCTACATACATGCATAGAGGATAAGAAAAATACAATTACCTTACCTACTAAAAAAGTGCAAGAAACAAAAACAAAAAAGAATCTCTTCCCTTTCCCCTAAACAAAAGCAATATAATTAGAAAGATAATCTGTGTTTTCATTAGCAGAGTTCAGCAGAGGCTTCATCACAGACAGAGTATATGCTTAGTTAATGCCTTGCCTCACTTCAAAAAGGACTTTCAGGTAACCTACAAAAACACACACACCAAACAATAATGAAATATTAAGGACAAAATTAAAACAAGAAAAGGACAAATGCTGGCAAAAAGCCATGGCTGAGATCATAAACACAAGGGCCACGAGGGCTGGGCAGCTCCTACCCTAGAGGCTCAAATCTGCCTTCATTTCCAGGCAGTCAAAGCAACGGGTGAGGAACAGTTTTTACAGAAATCTCACCAGAGAACAGTAAACACGTCAGATCATCAAGGATACTAAATCCTAGAAGAAACTTCTCGTGAGAAAACACTGCAGGCATGGGCCTTACTGTGGGAAGAGCCAGGGCGAAGGCCCCCAGCTCTCCAGGCATAGCACCAATAGGCATTTTCACCATGGCAAGAGAAAGGCAGGAATGCTAAGAACTATACTATACAAATGAGCACGGCACAACCACACCACTCACACGTCACACCCAACACAACAGATACCTGTGTCTTAAAAACCAGAGTTAAAGACCACGAAAGGGCAGATGAAGTGAGGGCGAAAGGACACACAGGGCAGAGAGCTGGTGCCACTATCAGATAATGAGCTCTAACAGAATCCACCCCACCAGTAAAAAGAAAACAAAACTGTAGGACTCTAGGAACACACCCTGACACAGCTCCACCTGAAGGCTGCTCCTGAGCCCCCACGTTCAAAATCACACCCACCCATATGTGACAGCTGAGGACCCAGCACGGGACTGCCCACGGTCAGGGGAAAAGCAGACAACAGTTCAACGGCAAAAGCAGCTCAAACCAGGGAGCTAACCCAGGCCCCAGCACATGGGGAGCCACAGGCACAGAGGTGGACCCGGTGCAGGCAGACACGAGGTCACAGAGGCAGGGCGTGTGAGCCAGATCAAGTAGGACGTCAAGGTTCTGTCCAGATGTGTGCACAGGAAAGTGGTTCAGGCCGACATTATGGAAAGCTTTCTCTTGTCCCATGGTACAGCCAATGGATGTACCCACTACTCAGGACACCCCGTTATAGCTGGTGCTGCCTGGGGCACTGCAGCCTCCTCAATGACAGTAGGAAGCAAAGGACACATATGTGCCACTGGTTTGCTGGGAACACAGGGGTGAAGGTGAAGGTGGGGGGAAGACATAGCAGGGCCAGGGAGGAGTGAGACCTAACTAACCCCCACATGGGCCCCAGGGAGAGATGGACAACTGTAGTTCTAGGCCAGCGGTGGGCTCAAACTGCACGCAAGAGCAAAGGGGGCGAGGAAGCAGCAGACTCCTGTCCCAAAGCATTCTGCGGGGCAGATGGGCCATCCAGTCACACAGAGGATGACCGAGGACGCTGCCTTACAGAGACAAGGATACCCGAGCAACAGGAGAGCACCACAGCCCAGCCAGGCAGGCACACCAGGAGGCCAGAAGGTAGGCGGCAGTTCAGCAAGGCACAAGCCATCTGCCCGCACCAAAAGAATGAGTGGAAATAAATGAAACAGATGTTGGAATGTTAGCCAGCCTTCAGGCAACAGGCCACATGGATCCCTGAGCAACATGAGAGCCATAAGGTAACTGTAGATGGCCCCACTCACGGACTTGACGAAGTCCCAGCCTGTGGCCAAGGAAGTGGGAGGCCAAATGGAAAGAGAATGCAGCAAGCAAGTGGGCTGCAGTGCAAAGATGCAGGGGAGGGCAGGTGGGCTGCAGAGCACAGACACACACACAGGGCACACGGCAGGTGGGCTGTAGAGCACAGACACACAGGGCTCGGGGCAGGTGGGCTGCAGAGCACAGACACACACAGGGCCAGGGGCAGGTGGGCTGCAGAGCACAGACACACACAGGGCACACGGCAGGTGGGCTGTAGAGCACAGACACACAGAGCAGGGGGCGGGGGGCTGCAGAGCACAGACACACAGAGCAGGGGGCAGGGGGGCTGCAGAGCACAGACACACACAGAGCAGGGGGCAGGTGGGCTGCAGAGCACAGACACACAGGGCAGGCGGCAGGGGGGCTGCAGAGCACAGACACACAGGGCAGGCGGCAGGGGGGCTGCAGAGCAGAGACACACAGGGCAGGTGGCAGGAGGGCTGCAGAGCACAGACACATGGCAGGTGCTCCAGAGAGCAGCAAAGGGGCCCCATCAAGTAGTCAGCCAAGCTCTGATCAACACACAGGTGTAATGCAACTACCCAAGGCTCATGGATGGAACACCCAGAGACGATCAGAAGTCATAGTATCCATTACGTGCCTTCCTCCACCATGGGCAAGAAAATCTCTTATTTTGGCTTGGCGCCTGTGGCTCAAGAGGCTAAGGCGCCAGCCACATACACCTGAGCTGGCGGGTTCAAATCCAGCCCGGGCCCGCCAAACAACAATGACGGTTGCAGCCAAAAAATAGCTGGGCGTTGTGGCAGGCGCCTGTAGTCCCAGCTACTTCAGAGGTGGAGGTAGGAGAATCACGTGAGCCCACGAGTTGGAGGTTGCTGTGAGCTGTGATGCCACGGCACTCTACCCAGGGCGACACTTGAAGCTCTGTCTCAAAAAAAAAAAAAAAAAAAATCTTCCTATTTCAAGGAACACTGCTCCCGTGGGAGAAATAATGAGCCCCACATTAATGCCCTGCTCATGCCTAATAAATCTTAAAAACAAGATGTGAAAGACATTGTTTTCAAGTAACTTAGCTGCGTCCCAGGACAAGAATCAACATATTTATAGAAATGCATGGGAAAAAGCAAGCAAATGTGAGCCTTTCCAATGAGGAACACTGGCCTTGAGAAACGGTCCAGAGCTGACACAAATGCTACTGTTGCTGATGAGGATAAGTCACTACGGCTGCATTCCACACACTGAAAAATTTCAGGAAAGATATGAAGATTATATATAAAAGACCCAACTGGAACTTCTAGAGATTCAAACTACACTGTCTGATATTAAAAGTACCAGATGAAAGTTACGACAGATATGTGATATAGGCCGGGTGAACCTGAGGAAACTTTCCAAAATGAAACAGAAAAGAGACAAATGAAGGTGCGGTCAGGAGGTGAATGAACACAATCCACATCAGGAGCCCTTCAACGCAGAGATAACTGTACCTGGGAACAAACAGCACCACCAGTGACCACATGGAGCTTTAGTTCTTGTTCTAAGTAATCTCCTAAAAACACAATTGGCTTTTAAATAAAAATGAAGACAAGACATGCTCAGTCTACAATGTCATAACTATGACATATGCAACAAGGCATCAGTGGCAGTTGAGTGGTGGCATCTGCTGTTCTCGCATGGCTCCAGTGAAATGGAAAAAGAAGCCTGAGGTACCCTGTGTCTGCTCAAGGAAGGAGAGTATAAACACAAAGAAGACATTAGTGTGGGCGGTGCCTGTGGCTTAGTGCCGCCGCCATATACCGAGGGTGGCAGGTTCAAATCCAGCCCCAGCCAAACTGCAACAAAAAAATAGCCAGGCATTATGGTGGGCACCTGCAGTCCCAGCTACTTGGGAGGGTAAGGCAAGAGAATCGCCTAAGCTCAAGAGTTTGAGGTTGCTGTGGGCTGTGAGGGGACAGAAAGGCCCTGGGCTGAGATTTCCAACAACGACGACCCTATCAGCAGGGATGTGTCCCACTGACAAGTGTGCACTGAACAGGATGTGACACAATGGCGCTTTACATCGGTGGTCCTCCTCCCAGCCCTTAACACTAGTCTCATGATGAAAAAAATCATAAAATTCCCCTACAAAATACCTGACCAGTCAGCAAAAAACAAGGGAAGGCTGAGAAAATGTCACAGCCAAGAAGAGCCTAAGAAAACATGACAACTAAATGTAATGTCATCTCCCAGATGGGATTCCAGAACAGAAGGAGGATGTTCAGTGAGACGTGTCACCACCAGGTCAGTAACTGCAGTGAATACTCCGTCAGTGTAAGACACTCAGAATAGGGAAAGCTGGGTGCTAGGCACGTGGAAACACCATACATTCAATCTTCTTGATTCTACTGTAAGTCTAAATCTATTCTATGCCTGGTTGTGGTGGCTCACCCCTGTAATTCTAGCAATCTGGGAGCTGAGGTGGGTGGATCACTTGAGCTCAGGAGTTCAAGACCAGCCTAAGCAAGAGCAAGACTCCATCTTTACTAAAAAATAGAAAAACTACCCAGGCGTTGTGGCAGGTGCCTGTAATCCCAGCTACTCAGGAGGCTGAAGCAGAAGGATCACTTGAGCCC